TCTCGCTGCTCACAATAGGTTCCAACAGGTTCCAGACATTCGTCCTCCGGGTCAGGTGCCGGCAGTTCTTACCTAAGATCAAACACCAGGTCTCCTCCCGCAAGCGGTCGGTTCTGGATATTTGTCCTCGGGTCCGAACGCCACCCGCCAAAGTAAGGGGACAGAAAATACCTTTTAAAGGGCGCTTTTAAAGGGCGATTAAGGAGAAGAAGACCCAATAGCCAAATTCTTTTATTTTTATGGCAGGGTCTAGCCAGAAGAAGGGCTACTACTACGGCCAGAAACAGTGCTCATTTTATTATGAAGGCACCGAACAGGCGGCCACCCTTACCTCCAAAGGAATAGACAATTTTACATCCATACCTTCTCCTGGATTCTAATCAGGGCCTTCCGTTATGGCAGTCAGAGTCATTAACCCCCTTTCCCGTCTGAACGGCATAGCCATATTCTTGTGGTGACGAATTATCATCCACCGCCTTTTAGTTCGAACACTACTTGTAGAGTCGCTAAGCCTTTTTTTCTTAATTAAAGCAGGAAACAAGAAAAATGTGCAATATCCTCTCCATAATTCGAACCGCGGACATCCCGATTGTTAGCCGGACGTGCTATCCAATTACATTCCGAAGGCGCGTGATAAGGAGGAAGAAAATACCTAACAAACTCGAAGGCACAGTCTGTAAGCTAGCTATTAATTCCTTCTTATTATTTATTATTTATAGAGACATGTAGTTGCTTTTTATTTTAGTATGCTTTTAATTCTAAGTGCCGTTTCCTCTCTGAAGGTTTCATGGACTCGTTTGATAAAGCTGCATAACAAATAACACCGAACGGTTTTTTCATGAAACCAAGTGTTATGTGAATAATGTGTTAAATCGTCAAACATACTGCAAAATCAAGGATGCTTTTCCCTCCATTTTTGTAAGTGTAACAGACAGTCCTCATGGGGCAGTTTGTTAGTGCCATTCTCGGAGCTTGTGCCTGGCTGAACGTCCCTTAAATGTTAGTTGTTAGTGTCATCAACAAAAACTATTCTTTTCAATTTTGATTGTTTATCGATTATAACCATCGCATATTTTTAGCCATTTACACACTGATAATTTGATGTAATAAAATATCATAATTAATAGTAAATAAGTACAAAATTGTACAGAGTGTTTGAACTAATAACTAACAAATAATCACTGAGAATACAAATAAAGCTGTGTCTTCACCAAAAGTTAACCGGAATATGTAAGTATGAGTAGACCCTAGCAATGTTCTCCCACTCTACCTGGTATTTGGGAAACGTTGGTTTAGAATAAATTACCTTTTTTTCCCTTCATACATTGCTGTAATTCTTGTTGCTATCCCATTGTTCGAGCACATAGTCACTGTAACCGCTGACAAGTAATCAAGTTGAAATGAAATGCATTCTTAAGCTTTTGGTATTTACATACTAATTTTCTGTATGTAGCCATCTACTACTGCGATGCATGTGTTCAGCACTCAGGAGGTTTTTTACTTCCAGAAGAATCTCTGAAGTCTCTTAACTATATGCTGATTCATAGCTTCAGTAACCTGCTCATTAAACTTGAATTTATTTGCCATTGCATGCTTGTTTACTGTGGAATAAAGCAGTGCAGAGCCGGCGGTTTCACTTACCCAGATGGGGGATAACTTGAGACGAAGCGACATTGACACAGTTTGGGTGGGTCGGCGTGAGTCCTGTTCCGTAGGATATAGCAGCCTGCGTAGTATTGGAGGGAGCAATTTGACGACCTGTCAGATCTCCAGACGTGCTTCTTCTCAGCCACTATGATCCTTCGAAACCGAGAGTGGTGACCCCGTGGGCTTGGGGGGGGTAGCAGTGTTTATAGTGTTATGATATGTTATGAGGGACGTAGCTCGACCCTCCTGGCAGATTTTACGTTGCCCTACGGCCTTTTTGCTGGCTGCGCCAGAGCAAGCTAGAAACAACACCTTCAACAAACAAACGCCATAAAGAACATAACTAAAAAAAACAAAATTCAAATCAAAATCCCTATTGCAAGCTTATCATGATTAATCTTCTCCATCATTTTCCTGGCAAATTTTTTTTCAGTCTTTTAAAATCATTTAAAATACCATATATATTAAAAACATCAGTTTTCTTAAACTCGTTCCTGATATCAGTAAAATATTTACATGTTTCCACATAATGCTGCACAGTGCCCGTTTCTTTACAGATATCACTCTTGTACATTAAACCTTTTAAAATAGAAAGGAAAACGGCCATGGCCTGTAATGATTTGATTAACGTCAATGTCTGAATAACATAAACCTTTTTTAAGTTTAACAAATTTCATATAACCTTTATTTCGATCAGACCTTTCCTACTCCTCCCACCATTTATCATAAATATAATTTTTCATAATAGTCACAGCTTTCTTTGTTGATTTCTGTACATCAGTGTCACGAGCATTAACATCGGTAATTGCCTCCTTGGCCAGTGCGTCCGCCCTCTCATTTCCAAATGTCCAACGGGTGCCTTCACCCATTAAACATAATATTTTGATCTTCTCTGAAGTCAGCAGTGTTTATAGTGTAAACGTTAAAGTCTGATATCTCGGAATGGGGCCCGGGGCGGTAGTGTGATTAGTGTGCTTCCTTTCCTTTGGAAACTTTGACTGGCGACTGACCCCAACTTTGACTGGCGACCGACTAATATGGAGACTTTCAATTGGGACTGGTCTGTATAGTGCAGTATTGACAAACTTATATTAACAGAGTAACAGAGTAAGAGTAAAACAACATATTATTAGTGAAAACAGAGTAAACAAATTATTATTATAGTTAAACAGAGTAAACAAACATTATTATTAAACAAACATAATTATTATTGGTTAAACAGAGCAAACAAAAATTATTATTATAGCTTACAACAGAGTCTAAAAACTCGTCTCTATATTTTTCGTTACCTTACGGAAGTTATGTAAGTGCAGAAAATCTCCTCCGTAGTATTCACGCATCAAAAGATGGAAGACTCACCCTGCTAAATTAAGAACGATCTTTAAACGATGCTCCATCAAAAAAAAAAAAAAAAAAAAAGGAGTTCTGAAAACTTTATGCAGTGAACCCATTAAGTTCCGAAGAATCTTCATTAGTTAAATAAAATTCCATAATCGGGGTGAACGCCAAGCTTGGCGAGAGTTTTTTTTTTGGCGCGATTTTAATTTGGTTGTGATTTCCGGCTGTATGTTTTCTTGTGGCAAACCTAGAGCTTTATTTCGGTAACTGTAAGAGAGCAAATTTAGTGTAGCCAGATTTTTTTTTAAATTAAATTTTGAAATACTGTGTTTGTTTTTAAAAGTTTTACTGTTTAATATTATTGTTATATATATGTTTAATATTATATTTATATAAATATTTGCAGAAGGTTAAACTGTTGTTGGTGGGAGAATGTTGGATTTCATATGACATGAAGTTTATAATTTAAGAATGTTTTCATTTAATTTTATTCAGTTAATTTTTGTTAGTTTTGTTTCTTGCATGTGGCAATCGAAAGATGTGGAATATTTAAAGCTTTGAACGAAAGTTGTTTAGTGTGTTGAATTCCACGACGATAGTAACTTGAATATTTTAGTTAGTTTATGATGCTGAATACGCATAATTTGCTATTCTGTTTACGTTTAAAACTGACTTCGCAGTGCTCTGATCTGATAAGTGTATACATTTATTTACTCAATAATTATTTACAAGAATTGTTCATTCTACTATTTTATGATGAATTACATATATATAGGACTATGCTTTTACTTGCAAAGCTGTTGCACTTTGGTTTCTCTCATGCGTTTCACTACTGCAAAACTTAAAAGTTACTCTGTTACTTTAGTGCGCCTAAAAAATTCGCCAAATTTTGAAGGCCAAAATAGTTTGACGCCAATTTACCCCGCTTATGGAATTTTAGCCGTTAAATGATTTAAATTTCTTAGCAACATGTAGTAGTCCTTTTCAATATGGTTTATTATATATTTGTATAACTCGGGTTGTTGAAACTTCGTATTTAGTCAGATCTTAACAAAGTAAATAGTGTCCGTTTCTAAATTATCAATAAAATTCGTCATTCATTGTTTAAGAAAACACACACTGAACTTTGATTATAAAAGGGTTTACAATATGCCTGTGATTGTGGTTTAACACAGATACAATAAGCAAATCTAGCTTTAAAATTTCCTGTTATTTAATACGAATCTTATACTCTTATTTGGGTGAAAAATACAGATGAATCTTCCATTACTAATTTTTATTTATTTCGGAACCATTCTTTCCCTAAAACTGTTAAAAAAAAGATATCTTCTTCTGGCACAAGATTCTCTCTCACCTGAAAAATCCTGTAAAGTCAATGAAATGAAGAGTGCTCAGGACACAAGTAAAAATTTCCCCTCATAAAAAAAGAAAGTAACTGCAAGATTTGCCTTGTTATTTTATTTATTAGGAATAATTTTATCGCTTTAAGATTTTACTGCCCTTTTATTTTATTTATTTGTAATTATGTGCAATTATTAATTTTGTCAACCCATACCTTTCTTCTTTGCCTGTTAATGAACCGTTCTTCACTACTTTCATCAGAAGTGCAACTGTTTTGTCATTCTTATTTATTTATTTATTTTTTGCAATTGATGTTTCTTCTAAAAAAGATTACTTACCCATTTGAATGGTTAGGTTTCAATACGTGTTTCTTTCATTTGTTTCGAAGCAGTGATAAATTTTTATAATGTACTTAATTATTGAAATGTACTCGTGGTAAGCAAATAAAATTATTCAGTTAATTTTACTTAATTCTAGGATTAGTCATTATGTTTAATCAGGAAAATTCTCCCATCTAGTTATGAAAAATCAGGGTCTGGAAAACTGGAAGTTATGTATCAATGGGAAACTTGTGATAGTCTCAGTAAACAGAAATTTTGAAAAACACTGATTATATCCACTAACCGTAAAAGTATTAAAACTGTGAAGGGGAAAAAAAAACTGACGAAAGGATCTTTTTTTATATATATAAAAAGGTATTTATTTACAGGCGTATTGCACAGTGTAAACCATAGCCCAATATATAACAGCAATACACATCACAAATACTCAGCATGAGCAAAATGAATGCTTTGGATGCAAGACAGATTTCTCAAGATTCCTCGACCAGTCTGTTTGTTCTTCAGCAGCATCGGTTGTAGTGGTATTTCTTGCAGCAACCATCGCGATGGGAGCTCGAGAGGAGTGGACAACTCGTCTGGCAAAGCATCTGGTCGATTCGGTCGGCTAGTCGTTGTCCACCATTCTGAGCTTCGGCTGGGCTCCAGCACTGCAAGGCAACGACGAACACGAGGCAGACGAGGAATAGGAAACGCATCTTGTCTTCTTTAGGAATGAATTCCTCAACAACAAGAGGTGTGTAGCACTAAAGGTTTGGATGCTTCCGCAACCTAGAAAGAAATATAAATTTGACTGAATTCTGGTTTTTGAATAACGATTGAAAAACAAAATAAGTAGCATAATGCATTGAGGTAATTTTATAATATGATTTAACATTTTTTATACAGTCAAGCGTTAAGTTTCAACTCGAGGATTTAATATCCTCCCGAAAAGCATAGCTAGTTTTATCATGTTTTATTAATTTCATTTCGGTCGATTACATTTTATAAAACCTGTTCTTGTTTGTCTCATTTCTGAAAGATTTCTTTCCCTCCAGAAAAAGCGAATTCTTTTAGATCCGTCTCTAATAGACGAGAAAGTCCAAAATGACGTTTATTGACCCAGAGATTATTTAGTAACCAGTTTGATTTTTTTAAAGATCTAAAATTTGTTATTCAGTATGTCTCAAAAATAATCATCTGCACCTCAATATCAACAAAATATGACTTTTCCTTTCGTAAGAACCTTTGTTTTAAAGGAAAAATCTGTTTTTCCTTTCAGCAGGTAAAAGCACAGCTTTCTACTCTTTCTTAGTAGAAAACGGTGGAGCTTCAAGCATCAAACACTTGATTCCACTACGTACAATGGGCAGAGCCTTCTTGGTCATGAGTATTAAGAAGCCTGAAGAAATGAATCCTCACTATCGACAACAGGAAAGAACTGACAAACTACTCTTTCTGAGGAAATATATTGCTTTTCCGTGCAAATAGCAGGTAGTGGCTCACTAGTTGCTTTTCTTTCTACGAACATAATACTCTGTTGGAAAATTTAGGTCCGCTTCAAGGCTACTTTATAGATCGAAGATTTAGGAATAGAAAGATCTTAGTGAAGCTTATTAAATGTTTCAGCAAGTGAGATTTTCTTTCTCGGTTAAGTTTCGTTAAAATATCCCCCCAAAAGAAGTTTTCAGAAGTATTGCTAATATGTGAGTAGTTTCCTGGTAGTAGGTATCGTTCCAGTACCACTTGACGCTTGATACGCGAAAAGTTTTACCCCAATTCAAACGGGGAAAGACATATATGGTCAGGTATAATTAAAACACAAATGTCAGATTATGTCTCGTTGTCAGGGCTACCTCATCCGAAAGGAACTAGACCGCAGAACTGCAGAAGATGGATTCCCCAGCTAAAAAAATATGCCTTAAAAATCTTAAAATGTAATTTAACTTATGAACGGCAACAGCAGGTGTACATAAACAGAAAACACAGGAAGAAAGTTAAATAAAGGTGTTAAAATAAGAAACGAAAGGCTAAAAGGAATTTCTAGTATTTAAGTTTACCCTTGTTGACGTTTATCAATAGAAAATATAGTCGAAAATGGACATAAAACCTAGAATCACTGGACGAAATCTATAAATGATAATGATGGTAAGTACAATAAAATATAATGTACAAACGAATGATTATTGGTGATTAAATTTTAAATCTAAGTCAGGCGTATGTAACCTTTTTTTGGCTGCGGATAAAAATCAATCAAAATGTGTGTATTAAGAAGACGTTTCGGGGTAGTGTTATTTTCATTTTAGAACGCTCTTTCTTGGTGAATAATAAGATAAATTTTATTGAGAAAATACTTAACAATACGCTTTAAACTTCCAGCATAAAAATTCTAATTCTAATTATTATAAAAATTAATATAAATGAATGAACTTTCTTTGTTTTTTCCTTCGATATCAAAGTCTTTCCTGATGCTGAAATATGACGTCAATTTAGTCAAGTCTGGCTTATAGTTAGTCAAGACGAATTAAGTATCTGAATTTTTGTTAGTTAAGGTGTTGCTGTTCTTATTTAAAATAAATTTCATGTGTGAAAATATTTGATCGCATCTGTAAGTTGAATCAGATGTGGACGAAATAGCAAAGTCAATTCTTTGGAATTATGGAGTATAGATATGCATTGCTAAACATCGATTTCTCCTTGAAATTATGTTGCAGCTTTTGTTTTTTAGAAATAAAAGTACATGTTTTTTAATGCAACTAATCAAACTAAAATGTTATTGTTATTAATTATTTTCGGTTATTTTTTATGTATTCTTCAAGCGGTCGTTATTTATTTTTATATATTATATTTTATTTTTGAAACTCAAGTGGGTCACTTTGAAATTACGAAATGTGTTACTCGGTGAATCGCAGGTCATAGGTTAGCATGAACTAAGTTTTACAAATTTTGTTACAAATGCCACAGATTTTTAGATCATTTACAAAGCTCATGTGATTAAACTCTCTTAAAAGGAAGCAAAAATGTGGATAATATACATCACCCTCTGTTTTACAGTATGTTTTAATTTCCAAAATAGTTTTTAACATTCATATAGCTAGAATGTTTTCGAAATTGCTATGCATTTGTATTTTTGAATCACAACGTGCTCCAGATTTCACATTTAAATTTGGTTTTAATTTAAAAATTTGTTTTTAAAGGTTTTATCTTCCTTATAAAGGTTTATGGAGTCTCGTTTTCTTTGGCAACATAGGTAACATTAACTTATGATACCTAGAAGACTGGGCGATGAATTATCCTTGAGTCTTAGGGACGACAAACTCCAGAGAAAGAGGTAAAGAACCCTGTTATTAACTTCTTTAAACATAATTTCACAGTTGACCCCACTCGGGCGTACACAAAAGCCAACACTACTCAAACAGGTAACAATGAACTTAAAATTATAGGTAGTAAGTTTAGTCTAATGACTCAAAGGATAATTTAACGCTCAGAAAGGCTCTGACTCGTAAAAGTAGGCGTAAAGAAGCTTAATGGCTAGAAGTACCCATCGCCTCTGAAATCTAATTACTAGAAATTCAAGGTAGTAACGTTGCCTTCGTGTAAGCATAAACGTTGCCAAATCATCTTCCAAAAACCTTCCCTTAAGTAATTACTTCTTTAAACATCATTTTGAATACAAGCGCGCTAGCTTATTAACATTCTGGCAAGAAAGCATGAGTTGGAACCAAGAACCAAAGGAGAATTACTTTAAAATAAAAGTAAACTGTTAGATAAATTAAATGAATTCCCACATGTTAAATAATGCAAAGGTATAAGACTGCATCAAAAAGATAATTATACAAAATAGGTATTTCGGTATCAGAAAGTTGTTTTTGTTTATAATCCTCCTGATATGGAAGGATCTCTTGAACAGGTCAATAAATTCAACATCGCTAAGAGGTTCTGAACGCCTGTCGTTGGCCAAGGCCTAGATTACAGTTTGACAGTAGACCTCTGTGCAGGTTCTTTCCAATTTTGATGGAAAATCCCACTTCCGAGGAACGGATCCGACGGTCTACTGTCCCCTCTTCTCCTACCATCAAACTCTCGAGAAGGCTTTTGGCTCGCCAATTTGTCAAGTACCTCGATGTTGCAAAGATACAGTTTGCTTGCAAAGATCCATTCCTTCTCCGGAATTCAAATCCGCTCTCAAGGCTGTGGCTGTCATCTTCCCTCCTGAAAATAATCGGGTGAGACACTGCAGACAATCGCATCTTTACCTTTCTAAGTGAATGTATAGGCATCATTATTTTACTATAACAAGTTAAAATTTTAGGATTTTTTAGCCTTCCTTTTTAATTAAGTGAAAGATAAGGGGAAAAGTATAATTAAGAAGAAGAATGAGTATGAATGATCTTAGATACTCAGTTGTCTTGCTTATTTCTACTCGACATACTGAGTTGTTGAAGTACAATGCCTTAGCTGTTGGGAGGCTAAAAATGAAAGTGATTGTGGCAGCTAATCTGCACCATATAGGATTAACAACCTCTCTGCCGGCTGATAATCGATATGGCTGTTGAAAAACTAGTTTCGATCCTATACCAGCGTCGATCCCAAGGAGGTACTAGGCAGGTATGGCGCGGTCCACCCTCCTGGTAAGCTCAAGCTCACCTTATGGCATCCCAAGGAGGTGTCCTGGAACATAATAAACGAATGTTTTCCTTCTTGATAATTCGCCGTTGTTCCTAATTACAGGTCTTGTCTACGCTGCACCATTTCGATTGTATGCAGGTGTCGATTCTTCGCCAGATCGATTCTGCCCGATACCTGTCTTATGTTCTTGGCGCTCCCCTAAAAAGTCATTAAATCAAATCGATTAGGTGGACGGGGGCTGCGCCTTCTTCTGTACCTGTCTTATGTTAAGTCGATTCTATGGCGTGTCAGTTATCGATCCTAATGCCTAAATCTTTTTCGCATGCCTCGATCCTAATGCCTCGATGAATGCCTAAAAATACTAAATGCAGGTGACCAATGTGCATTAGTTCTATAAGGTATTTCCGTCCTCCTTTTCGCATGCCTTCGTGGTATAAGTGGAAGTACACTCGACGCGTATTGGAGAGGTCCGGAGTTCGAATCTCGGCGAGGACATTGTGGTTTCTTCAATTTCCTAGTATCGGGAAATTCTAACAGACTGTACAGTTCTCTTACTCATTATTAAAATTTACTTCTATTGCTAGAATTTTTTCTATTGTGTCAACAATATGCTGGTAAGTAGTATCTATTATCGTATATCACCGTGGATGCTCTGCTGGTTTAAGTTCTACGTCGCATCGACGCCAAGTAGTGTTTATCTTATGTAGTGTAGATCCCATGGAACATTCACTTTGCGCAATATCTTATGAATGTAAACCAAATCAACTAGAATTTGTTTGTGCAAGAATAAGTTCATTTACGTTTATATTTATTTAGATTGTAATTAACTTAACTTAGTCATCATTAAGAACCAAGTAGACGTAAAATTGTTAATTTTCATTTGTTGCTGCAAAAACCTTGGAATGAAAATCTAAAGGATAATTTAAAAAGAGGATAACTCTGCATTATTTTCGAAGCCGAAGCATGAAATAGGTCCACAAGCTTGACATTTCTGTAATTTACGAAATGAAAAAATAAGTGTTCTGAGACTAGCTTTGCTTCTGAGCGCAAGGACTAACACAACCGAAAGCGTGGATAAATATCTGTACTTTAAAATTATGAATCCAGCACAGCGAAAATTTAATAAGGAAAAATCTGGAAGAATTCAGATTTCAACGTCGCAT